GTAACGGCGGGGAGGGAGAGGGGATGGAGCCGACGAGCAGGTTGGGTTGAAGGGGAATAGGGGTGAACTCGACCCCTACAAATTACCTCCAATTTCGTGTAAATTCCTCGTTCCTGCGTCAGCATAATACCTGTATTAGAACCGGCCAGCTCCGGCTCTTAGGCGGCAATAAATCTGTATTAGGGCGAGGCGTTTGCTCCTCTTGGCAAAAGGGGTACAACGCCCCTGGGCATGGCTAATTTTTCACCACCGCGTCTCGCCCGCCAGAAATTCGCCTGAATACACGATTCCTCGGGACGACGGCCGCTCGTCGAAGCAATCTCGATACCTCCCGTCCTCCGTTTCGATTTTTCATCCCCCTCCCTTCGCCCGACCGCGACTTCGCCGCCAGTGACCGTTAATTGGACCGCGACCGTCACGCTCTAATTCCCTTCTGATTGCACGCCTCGTTGCGGTAATTTTTGCGTGGAATTCCTGCAATCGAAATTTAATTTTAGTTTTTCTTTTTTTTTTAGTATTTGTTGGGAAAGAGAGGAAGGGGAGATCTTGCGATGGAAGAATGAAAGGAAGGATGAATATGGTTCTTCTTTAGTAATAAAGGATTCGTTGATGTTCTTGCATTCGAAGGGGACGAAGATTTTTAAATGTTAATTTCTGTATTTTTTCCTTCTGTATTTTATTTTGGTAAGGAAAGAAAGGAATGATATTTTTTTTAGAATTCTGTTCGAATTGATTTTAATTTCTGCATTTTATTTTTGTCTCTCTATGTTTATCTAGAAAGAAAAGAAAGAGTTCGTTCGAAGATTTTAGAAAATGGAAGAGGGATAAAAATTTGGATATTTCTTAAGATATTTCTTTTCTACAAGTAATTTTTGAATTTATAAAAATTCTCCATCTTTCGTGTTTTGCATTTTGTTGTTCACCCGGAGGAAGGAAAAGAAAGGGGGTTCGTCGAAGATTTTTCTGAAGATCGAAGGGGGATGAAAATTTGAAATATGAGACGATATCCTTCTCTAAGAATGAGGGGTCTGGCCTGTTCGCCCCTATCGTGATACACATGTGTTATCTCTACCGAGATTGGCGATAAGCTCGAACGTGCCAGGCCAAAGTACGATTATAATTATAGATGGAAGATACATTTTCATTAGGGGGTTGGACCGTGTATTAAGACCGTGCCAGGTTTCCAGGGGCGTACGGTCGCGTTGGGGTTAATTTATCAATCCGACTACATCAAACTGATATTTTCGATGGCGAACGAGTTCATTCATCTGATTCGAAATGATAAATTGGCGCCCGTTGTTTTACTT